TATCCATTTAAACTTATTTGATAAGTTGTTCAATTTAGAATTCAAATTAATTTAAGTTTGACTTAAATTAGAATTTGAATTTGAGTCAAAATTGGACTACAGGATAAAGGATGATTTTCTCTTTCTTCCCTATCTGCAAATTGGCGTCACACAGGGATGAAGATCCCATAAGGTGGCCGGCCACAATGGATAAGGATAAGAGGAGATTTTGTTCCAAATTTAAATAGGAGATAATTAACAAGCTTTATCTTAGAGATAGAGATTTGATTCCTTTTTGAAGTTTGACTTCTACTCTTTAATATGAGAATGATAGAAAATTGTGAAGATAATTTTTTGAAACAATTTATGCCCTAAGAGTTAAGGCTGGCCGAAATTCTCAAGAGAGAAAGGAAGGAAAAAAATTTTCTCCAAAAATTTCACATCGTGCATGCGTTGGTGTTTGTGGAAATTTGAGTGTTTATTGTAACCCGTTTTGTCTCATGTGTGCCCACACACACGTCTTCGTGGATTCTAGGAATTGACGTGGAAGACATTGATTTTCTAAACACAAAGATTGGACCAAGGACTGTCCGTGGTCAAAGAACTCAAGTTATCATCCGAGTCGGCTTCCAGGTATTTTTCCTGATTGAGTTCTTAATAAATGAATTAATGAGATTAATTTATTCATGCATAAATTAATATATTCTATAGAGTATCTCAAAGGTTTTATGAAAATTTTTGTTATACACGATCCGCCTCTTCCCCGCACCACGCTTCCGCATCCAAATTCGATTCGGAGACCAACAACAACATGCACTTGCTATAAGAAACCGAGGCATACCAAAGAACGTTGCTAGAAATTGAATGGTAAGCCAACTACTTTGAGTAAGGAGTGGGGTCACCGAGGAGAGCAGTAGAAATCATACAGCCAAGCACATTTGACAGAGCAGGCACCTCAGATAGAGCAGGCTAGTCTTCCAGGGAAAAGAGAGCAAGAAGCACTCAGTGGAGAGGAAATTGAGAGGCTTAGAGGCCTAATAGGGTCGCTTAAGAAACCTTCTGTTGCATGTTCATTGGCTCTCTCAGGCAGGTCTTCATTCTCTTTTGGATTAAATGCCTAAGAAAAAGGTGTTCTTGACTCTTGGATAATTGACTCAGGGGTCACAGACCATATGACTCACACATCACACTATTTCCATACCTATATTCCATGTCCAAGTAGTAGGAAAATAGTTGTTGCAAATGGTTCTCTTGCTACAGTAGCAGGATTAGGAGATATCTATGTAACATTTTCTCTCATCCGAAAAAATGTTCTCCATGTACCAAAATTGTCAGTAAACTTGGGTTCAATTCAAAAACTTACAAAACATCTTAAGTGTTGTGCAATTTTTTATCCCTCCTACTGTGTATTTCAGGAACATGATTTGAAGAGGAAGATTGGACTTGCTAAGGAAAGGAATGGACCCTATTATCTTGAAACACCGAGTACTCCGAAGAAAGTCATAAATAATTTGTCTTTGTCATTTCTCAGTACTTCCAATAAAGATGCCATTTGGCTTCATCATTTCCGTCTTGGTCATCCATCTTTTCGAGTCTTAAGTATCATGTTTCCCTCTATGTTTAAAGGATTAGATATTATAGACTTTCATTGTGATATTTGTGAGTTTACAAAACGTACCCGTGTATCTTTTCCTGCTAGTAATAAAAGAAGTACCCATTCTTTTGATTTAATTCATAGTGATATTTGGGGACCATCCACAATTCCAAATATTTCAGGGACTAGAGTTACATGGCTATTCCTAGTTAAGCAAAAATATGATGTAAGCACTGTTATCCCCAACTTTCATTCCATGGTTCAAAACCAATTTGGGGTAAAAATAAAAAATTTTAGGTCTAACAATGCAAGAGACTATTTCAACCAAGTCTTATCACCCTATTTTCCAATGGAAGGTATTATCCATGAGTCATCATGTGTTAATACACCACAACAAAATGGTGTCGCTAAAAGGAAAAATGGCCATTTACTTAACTCCACTCGGGTATTATTATTCCAGGAAAATGTTCCAAAATCCTATTGGGGAGAGTCTATCCTTAGTGCCACATAGATGATCAATAGACTGCCTTCATGGATATTAGGTTACAAAAGTCCTACGGAAACCCTTGCTGAATTCTATTCTTATTTGAGGACCTCAAATGGCCTTCAACCCAGAGTCTTTGGTTGTACCTCCTTTGTCCATGTTCATAACCAACATCGAGGAAAGCTAGACCCTAGAGCAATAAAATGTATCTTCCTTGGGTATTCATCTACATTAAATGGATACAAGTGCTACCACCCACCTTCCAGGAAATTCTATATATATATATGCAGATGTCACGTTTGTTGAGAATAAACCATATTCCACCCAATCTTACCTTCAGGGGGAGAATGTTATGGAAGATAAAGGTGATACATTGGATTTGTGCTTATCTTTTAATACTTCTAATTGAGTGTTTTGTTAGTTTTAGAGTGGTTTTAGTAGTTAATTTATGTATTTTTAATTGATTTTACAGACTAGCATCATTTCGAGTTCGTAGGTGAGTGTTGGAGTAATATTTGGAGCTAAATTGAGATTGGAGAGCCTCGGCCTTGAAAGATGGCATCTAGGCCTTGAAATGGTTCATTTGTAGTACCAAAACCCGAGAGAAAAGAGCCTAGGCTTTGTACAATGGAGCCATGGCGCCAAATTACGTAATGGAGCAATTTTCCGCCCAGGGCCGCGACGCCCAAATAGTAGAGCCGCGGCTCTACTTCGAAGCATTGTGTGGATAGGCTATTTTTCAGGCCAGGGCCGCGGCACCCAAATAGTAGGGCCGTGGCTCTACTTTGAACATTTTGTCGACTTGAGTTCATTTGAGTTCCAAAAATTTACAAAAATGCCACACGATTCCAAACATTATAAATATGATTTTTAAGGTTATTTTCTAGGATCTTTTGGCTAAGAAAAGAATGAGAGAAGACGACTCTAAGAAGGAGAGGAGGATTCGTTCAAGAACATAGTTCAACTTCGAATTCGCCAAACAGTTTTATTCTTTCCTGAATTTCTTATGTTAATTATTATTATCATTATGTTTTCTTTTTCAATTATGTTCTAAATTTCTGGACTAGGACTACAAGTGTAGCCAAGACATGAATATTTGATTTCATTTATTTTCTTTCAATGAAGTTTATTCACTAAGAGTTTTCATTCATGAATGTCTTTCTTTTATTGTTCTTAATGCTTTCAATAAACTGATCACTTATTGAATTGAAAACCTAAATTGAAACCCCAAAAGGAGATTTTTAGGAAAGTTTCTAATAAAAGGAACCGTAAGGTGCGTAGGACATCGAGAGATAGTAATACGACTTGCAAAAGTAATTTTAAAAAAATCAAAGAACTTAACAAATTTCTAGAATGGTGGGATTCACATCTAGCGATAGTTAATTTATATGTTAGAAATATTTTTAATAGCATCCCCAGAAGGACTATTAGATAAATTAGAGTTTTTCGTTCTACTATAAGAATGGGAGGCGATATTAGTGAATAATTGGAATTAAATAGGAATTGTCTTAGTGAAACTTGTATGCTCTAGTGTTTTATTTGCATTGATCTCTTTTCATAATTATTTTGCGTATAATTTGTGTTAATTTATTTTACTTTCTTTTCAGTTTTAATCTATTACAAAGATTTTATTTGTCTAGATAAAGTTAAAAATATCAATTTCAGTAATTGTTAAGCTAGTCTCCGTGGGAACGATATCTTATTCACTCATTATATTACTTGCGCGATTCGTACGCTTGTGAAAAATCACATCAAAAGGCTTGGGTGATTTCGTACTATTTGATCCTCTTGACCTAGCCTTCTCGGTACCTCAAAAATAGGACTACTCAAACCCCACTAAATCCACTAAATCCATCTCAATTCCATCTTCTACTTCAGTCCTTGAAAATGTGTCTGCCCCTCTGTCAATTCCTACACCTATTTCAGTTCCATAACCAATCTCTACTCAAACTTTCGTTCGTATTTTTGACTCTATGAGGTTTCCTCGGGTGTATTCAAGGAAAAAGGCTATTCCTGACCAGACACAAGTTTGAGACACTGACTTGAATCCTGCTAACAAAAACATGGTAAGTCATGATCCTTTCTTGCATACCTAGTATGCTGAAATTCCACAAAATGATTCTCATCTTCCTATTGCAATTAGAAAAGGTACTAGAGAATGCACACAACGACCATTGTATCTTTTGTCTCACTATGTGTCACACCAACGTTTGTCACCTCTCCATAGAAATTTCATTATGAGTCTAAACACTGTTTCTGTTCCAAACACCTTATCTGAGGCATTATCACGAAAAGAATGGAAGAATGCTATGAGAGAGGAAATGGATGCACTAGAGAAAAATAAGACATGGGAGATTGTTGACAAACCGAAGGGAAAGAATCTTGTAGGTTGTAAATGGGTGTTTTCTCTGAAGTACAAGGCTGATGGCTCACTTGAAAGATATAAGGCAAGATTTGTCGCTAAGGGATACACCAAGACTTACAGAGTTGATTATCAAGAGACGTTTGCTCCAGTTGCAAAAATGAACACTGTGAGAATCTTATTATCCGTGCAACCCACTTTAATTGACAACTTTAACAATATGATGTCAAGAATGCTTTTCTACACGGCGATCTACAAGAAGAGATCTACATGAGCATTCCACCGGGCTATGGAGGAAAAGAGACAGATAATAAGGTATGCAGACTGAAGAAAGCTTTATACAGGCTGAAACAATCCCCTAGAGCTTGGTTTGGGAGATTTGTTAAAGTCATGAAAGGAGCAGGATATAGACAGAGTCAAGGAGATCATACCCTTTTCATCAAACATTTGGCCACAAGGGGAGTAACATCACTCTTGGTATATGTTGATGATAATATTGTCACAGGAGATAATGAGGAGAAAGAAGTCCTAAAACAGTGTCTAATCAAAGAATTTGAGATAAAGGAAATTGGAAGGCTGATGTATTTCCTTAGGATTGTAGTTTCATACTCAAACCAGGGAATTTTTATTTCACACCAGAAGTATGTGACAGATCTCTTAAAAGAAACAGGAAAACTTGGTTGTAAGCGAGTAACTACACATGTTGAACCAAACCAGAAACTGTGGGAGGCAAAAGAAGAACCAAAGGTTGATAGAGAGATGTATCAAAGATTGGTAGGGAAGCTGATCTATCTCTCTCATACCCTATCAGACATAGCATATTCAGTGAGTATGGTAAGTCAATTCATGCATGATCTGAGAGAATCACATCTTCAAGCTGCCTATAGGGTGCTACAGTACTTGAAAGGTTGCCCGGGAAAAGGAGTCCTATTCAGGAGAAATAATAGGCTCACACAAGAATCTTACACAAACGCAGACTATGCATGATCTATAGTGGATAGAAGATCCACATTAGGCTATTGTACCTTTCTGGGAGGTAATTTGGTGACTTGGCGGAGCAAAAAACAGAATGTGGTAGCTAGGTCAAGTACAGAGTCAGAGTTTAGAGCTATGGCCCAAGGAATCTGCGAATTGTTATGGCTTAAGATCATCCTAGATGAGTTGAGAATCAAGTAGGAAGGACCAATGAAGCTGTACTGTGATAACAAATCATCAATTAACATTGTTCATAACCCTGTATAGCACGATAGACCGAAGCATATTGAGATTAACAGACACTTCATCAAGGAAAAGCTAGAAGAAGGTCTAGTGTGCATATCTTATGTACCATTAGGAAGTCAATTGGCAGATGTCCTAACTAAGGGACTTAACTGTGCAGTTTTTTCATGAAATTGTTTCCAAGTTGGGAATGGAAGATATCTATTCACTGAGAAGGAGTGTTGATTTGTATAGCTATAACTGAAGTACAGGCTGTATAGATTGTATAGAATCAGTTATTCTAGGAAATTTAACTCTAGAAAGTTGACTCCAACCCGGGATTGATAGCCTTCAATCCGTGATTGATAGCCTAGGATACTTTCCTAATTTAGTTTGTTAGTCTCTGGTTTCCTAATCTTGTATCCTAGAACAGCCTGTATATATCTCGATGTATCTCTGTATCATTCTATTCGAATAATAACATTAAAAACATTCTTTCTCTCATATTTCACTTCACTTGATATTTTTTACTGTTCATTTTGACTTTTCCAGATTCTATAGGATTTATCTCCTTAAAACTAAATATGAAACCTATCCAACTGTTTTAAAGTTACAAAAGATGATAGAATTGAGCAGACAATTAAAATCTTGCAAAGTGACTACGGAAGGGAGTATAGAACAATGTCAAATTTCCTAGAGTCACGGTATTCACCATAAAGTGGTCTGTCCTTGCACTCCTTAACAGGATGGAGGAAAAATAGGAACGCCGTAGAAGTGGGTCTTACCTTCTTGGCTCATGCTCATGCACCACTCTCCCTTTGTCTCTATGCTTTTCATATTCTTACCTTCTTGGCTCATGCTCATGTACCACTCTCCCTTTGTCTCTATGCTTTTCATACTAATAACTTCCCTATAAACAGGTTTCCTTCCTCTATTTTGTCTAGTAAAAGCCCCTATCAATTACTATATCACAAACCACACAAGTATGACTTTCTTAAAGTTTTTGGGTGTGCGTGCACTACAACAATTTACCCAATTTACAACGAACTTATTGTCGTTGTAAATAATTAATTATTTGTGATGACATAACGTTGCAATTATTTATCGTTTAATAGGAAAATCATGCAGTCGCTAGTAATTCACTAATCGTCGCAAATATATTCTTGGCTGCAAATGTTATCTGGTGCCAACGTTTGCCGCCAAAATAAAATTATTTACGACGACATGTCGACGCAAATAATTTTTATTTGTGACAACACCTGTTGTCGCTAAAAATAACTCATTCATTTATTATTCTCCGAGTACAAAGGCGGTCAATTTGGCGGTTCTCAAAAGTTATTTGCAACGACACAAATATATGTTGTCGCAAATGCTGATTTTGTATTCCCTCGCGAAAATAAAAGGTGGTGAATTTAGGCGGTTCCCAAAAACTAATTGTGACAACATTGCATAATGTCATCGCAAATAATAATTCTAGAACATTCGTCATAAATACTAAAAAATTAAGTTTGACTAATTGGATTATTTGCGACGACTATGAAAATAGTGTGTTGTCGCAAATAGTTGACAGTTTCTGATTATAATTAGAATGTCATCATTTTATAACTTATTTGCAATGACAGTTAAAACTTTGTGTGACGACATTGTCGTCGCAAAAAATTCTGTCTATATACCCGCAACCAGGGCCTCCTCCTCTATTTTTTCTGATCACTCTCTCTCACTCTCGGCCTCTCCCCAGTTTTCCGACCCCAAACCCCCAAAACCTCCTCCTATTCCCTTCTAAATCCTCACCAAATAATCATTTATCATAAGTTTTAATCATTTTCATTATTTTTTCATCAAAAAAAGTATAAAGAACAAACTCCGTCGCTGCCAAATTCTGCCACAGCCGCCGCCGCTGTTGTCACTCTCCCACCTAATTCCGCCATTTTCTGCCCCCATTTTAGTGGGTTTTAAACTTAAGTTTTTTGCATATCTATTGTATTTTTTAGTTTAAAATGTTTGGGTTTTTTTTGTTTGTTTGAATTTTGGATTTTAAATTTTGATTTATAGATTTTAGAATTAGTATATAATTTGAATTTTGGATTGTACATTTTGAATTTTAGATTATGAATTATGAGATTGTTGAAATTTAGTATAAGTGTGTGTGAATCTCTTAGGGTGTTATTTTATGAAATCTGCTTGTAATTTGATTTAGGTTGAGATTAAAAATTTTAATGATTGTTCTGGGTGGCACATTTTGTAGTTATGGTGTGTCGAAATTTTTGAAAAGCTGTTTTTTACAGGTTTGGATTTTTGGATAATAAGAAAAATAAGTCGTTTTGTTGTCGAAATTTTATTAAAACTTGTTAACTTTAAGATTTTCAGTAATAAAATTTAATTACATTAATGGAAAGTAAATTAAAAATTTATTATAAACATTACAACTTAAAAAAATGATAAGAAAAATTTATATTAATTTAGTCTAAAAAAGTAATAAATAAAGTGATATATTTAAATGGATAATAAAAGTAATGAGTGCAATAATAATAGGATAAATTATTCATAAAATTTGATAAAACTTTATAAAGTTGAAACATTAACTGTAAAACTTTTTTGGTGAACGTGACTATATAGTCACAAAACCAACACGTGTGTGTATGAATATAAGTTTATTTGTGATACTTTTAATTAGCACGTTCATACATGAAATAACTTTAGACCTGTTCGAGGATAGGTGTGTAGTACCGGTGCTTGAATAGTCACGTTTGGACAGTTTGGTATTGTCATTTATGTGTTTGTCATTCAATTTCACTTGCGTCTTTGGTAGATATTTTGGTGTGTTATCCTTTGTTCTCTGGGTGTGCGTATTTGATAGCACACTTTAGAGAACTAAATTTGTTAAGAAATTGAGTAAGAAATAAAGTAGCTAATAAACTTTATTTTTTATACGACATAGAGTCACAATGTCCGGCCCAATAGCTACATGTGTCGGCTTTGCAAGATGATCACAGTCTCCACCTGATTTGCCGAGACTCCCGGCACATTGTAAGTCATGTATTATATGCTATAACATATGAACTGTATTTTTTTATTCTACGAACTCTATATAATCAAAATTCGTTATTTTTGTTTTTTTACAGTTCTAGAGACGACACCTCGACGTCGACCTGATCGAGGGGTAGCTCTAGGTTGGGATATAGTGGAGAAGGTACAAAGAGAGAGGAATCTTTCTGTCTTGTTTGACGAGGCCGGTACTGTTGGGAATAGTGTCCTAGAAGCATGAGATGTAATATGATGTTTATTATTTAATTAATAAAAGAGTTTATTCATCCTTTTATGTGCTTATATTTATGAATATTTTATGAATATCAAATGAAAATTCCGTGATTATTTATGTAACCTTAAACACAGTATATAAGTGTTATATACAAGAGGATAGTGTTTAAGGATAATAATAAAAAACATTGTTCATAATGAATTTAATTAAAGTTCAGAATCTTTAATTAAAATATTATTAATACAGGTCATTCCCATTTAGAATGGAACGGTACTATCCGCACTGTTAATATGGTGAGATATTAAATGAGTGTATTTCGCATAATGAGATTGTGTGGAACAAGGACACAGACACAATATGAATTTCTAATAATTTCCGTTAAGCATAGAAATTCTAATTGAGTCTACCGATGGTCATATATAAAATGATCTTAATCATGAGTTTTTAACAAACTCCTATTTATGGATTTATGTCTTTTGATTTACTTGGTACGGATTCCGAGACACTGAATCCTATTCCTTGTATTTTGGAGACATGATGAAATAGATAGCTGGGAATGTTATTATACGATATGGAATCCATTCCTTCTTGAGATAGAAGTAGATAAATAATTCTCTTGAGTGTTGATTCGGTACTTGGATTAGTAAGAGCGCTCTGGTTTATGAATGTGTTTTATGAATCACTATCCATTAGAGAATCAATGGTACTCAAGGATGAAGATATAATTAGAGAGGTTAACGGATTCTACCTGACTCTAATTATGAATTATTTATGGAGGATTGATCTATATGTAATGATTATATCAAATGGAAACTTTG